GTCATTTACTCCCACTGCCAATTCCTAATTAATGACAGAATATGTTAAGTTCACAAACATTGCTAATAACCTAAATTAGGTATTGATGCTATGATATGAATTAGGCACTGAGTCTAACTGAAGTCTTTGAAGAGCTCATAGTACAGAAACACCTTCATACAAAGTAAGAAAAAAAACCTGAAATGATAAAATTCTCTATTAAAAACTTTTCAGCAGTCACCTACGATTTAAATGATCTCAAGTAAACCTTATGTTAAATTACTGAAACCAGAGTTATTTCCACAAACATTTTTAATCTAAAACTTCATAAAAACACGGATGAAATTTTCTACCTTAAGACAATTTAATTAAATCTAATAATCTACATTATACAATTAATATAACATAAAATCTATACAATAAATTAAGAAAAATACATGAGACAATATGGAAGTAGAGTCTTATGCAAACAAAGTGAAAATATGATTCTGTTAGAGATACAGGAACCATAAATGCTAAAGAACTGGGTGAGCTGCCTACTACAGACAGTGACTTCTAAAGTACAAACAGCAAACATACACTGCATTTGAAAAATTAGTAAAAATGATTTTCCATACCTGTCAAAAACTATAGAACACAGAGATCTGTACAGTAAACAAAAGCAGGTGATGGCCCCTAAAAAGATACCTTGGGTCTGCATGACTTCTGTGCACACATACACACAGAGTCTTTGTTTTTATAGCTGCTATAATTTGAAATAGTAATGGGAAGGTAAAATGCTCTTTTAAATATAACTTTACTTTTATGCTTTCTTAACTAAGCACAAATTTTCCTTGCCTAGAAGGGAACACCATTATGTATTTGGGAGACATTGTTTATTATAGGGGTGGGGTTCTGCAGCTCTATCAACTTGTTAGGAGCTTGAAGGCCAAGTTATTCAGCATTAAAAAAAAAAAAAAACCCCAGCCCTTTCAGCTATTTAGCAGAGGTGTGATCCAATCCGATAATCAAGTGTCCCAGCATACTCTGCTAGATCCAGTTTTTCCATTGTGACCAAGAAGAAGGCTTACTTGCTTGAGTTTGTATTAGCTGTACTGGGTGCACTTTGTATTAAAGATGGAGGCAAGCAAAGGCAAGAGCTGCCTTCACAGTGGTATGGAAAATTTTCAGGGTTCAGTGCAGATGTGGTCCCAATGGTCCATGAACTGGGAAAATCTGTGACTGCCTTAGGCGTATCCTAGGCGTGTCCTAGGGGGATTCTTCAAAAACTGCCCTCCCTTTTCCTGGTCTGTATCAAACCTCCCATTCCCAAAAATCTTGGCAGAGGCATGGGCACAAATATCTGTTTAGTTAAATGTACGCTAAAAGTATAAATCAAGTTACTATTCGCAAGGAAAATACATTTCAGACAAGAGCTTGAAATTCCAAATTCAGCCAAATCAATTGAGAGGTCGCAGATGGTGAACAGGTACCTTCCACTGGTCACTGCCTGAGTAAAACTGACCAAATGAAATCTGCTCTCACAACATTGAAATTCTAATCTGATCAGCTTCACCAGTTTCAACTGCAGTGGAAACACTACATACACAATTTTCTAGCTGAAATAAAATTCCAATGAATTTTTTTAATGTTTTTCATTTTAAATTTAAAATTCTGAGTTCATTTGTGACTTAGAGGACTACGGGGAAAAGGGCATTAAACTCTTAGGTGAAATCATGCCCAATAAAGTAGCAGCAAAGGGCCTTCCCTACTGGAGTAAAACTGGGGGTCTTTAGAGACCCTGAAAAAAAACAAAAAGAGGACCACAGACTCTGGAGCCAGCGCCCCGCAGTCTGCACAGCAAGATCAGGCCACATGGAAACGTGTTAGATTGAGCGACTGACACTGAACAAAAAATGCTGTGTTTCATAAACAAGTTTTCAGTATACCCCATTTCTCACAAATTCTCTTTATTGTTGAAGGAATAAGGCAAGACACCTACAGTTTTACCAAAGGAAGTAAACCTAGACTGTTTTTCCCCTCAAATTACTGGAATATATAAGAGAATATACTTCGTTAACTACTCTACAGAAATTTAGTCATTATGTAAATTGGTATGCCGAAAGTATGAATTAAATTTAACAAAGAGATTTGAGTTACAGGAACAAAAATAGGAGGAAAATTTCAATTGTTTCCAGCCTGGGGCAATTTTGTCCTTCAAGGATTATTTGACAATGTCTAGAAATATTTTCAGTCATCACAACTTGGCAGGAGGAAGGTTCACTGGAATCTAGTGGGCAGAGGCCAGGGATGCTACTAAAATCTTACAATGCTCTCGACAGCCCTACACAACAAAGAATTATCGGACAAAAATGTCAGTAGTGCTGGAGTTGAAAATTCCAGTTGAATGGCAATCTGTCGCAGGTAAATTCATGTCTACTCTTTATGAAATTGTCCACCACCCCAACTCCTAATGGTCCCAGCAGTTTGCTCCCAAGTATAACCAGCCATAGAGCACCAATCATAAAAATGATACAATTTCTGAAAGAAAAATATGTATACATGTACAATTTTATACATTATATAGATTGAAGAGAGAGACAGAGATACAACATACAACTGTATCTACAAGATATATCTGGCATATTCCTTAACCCAGCGGTACCACTTCTAAAACTTTACTGTAAATTAGCAGTTACATATACTCATGTGTGTTCAGAGATTTCCCCTGTGGCACTGAGAGCACCCTGCCCTGAAAAAAAAATCAAAATAATCTTAATATTTAGCACTAGGACATTAGTTAAATTATGATATATTCATTTAATAGAACCCTAAATCCTATACAATCTTTTTCTTTTTTTAAGGTTAAGCCCACAACTCCATTGAAGCTCCCTTGAAGAAACCAATTAAGAAAATTACAAAGACAGTCTGAATTGACAGATATCATCTTATTAATAGTAGTGACTTCTATGCAGTGGTATTTCACAGTTCTTTCCCTTTCTCTTTTATGTACATGTATACTCTGCATTTTTTACGATGAGAACATATTTGTAATAAGCAAAAAAGTTAACAGATTTGTTTTAAAAAAGAAAAATGGTAAGGGTGTAAGAAACATTGGAGATCGTCTACAACAGCCCCTCACTCAAGAGATGAGAGGATGGATGATTAGAGCTTAAGCCCCACCTGCTAAGTGGGAGAGGCAGGTCTGTAACAGAGGACTCAACTCCACAGTGAAGGGAAAGACAGACAGAAGACAGCACTAAAAACCAAACACGCACTGAAGTACTCATAAGTAAAATTATATGATGTATTAAATTTACCTCAAAATAATACAGTTTTGGGGGATAGGAAAGTAGGAGGTAAGAATTAAAATAGATTAGACAGTGTTTATATTTACTGAAACCAGGTAATAGTTTATATGATGATATAATATAGTATTCTCTCTACCTTTGTATACATTCAAAAGTTTTCATAACAGAAGTTTCTTAAACATGTTGGATATGTATTTCCTAGCTCTATACCATGAAAAGGCCTAGAAAGTATCACCAACTGAGCAGCAATGAACATCCCCAGAGCTGAAAGTATGAAACTGAAACATTTCCCATTGAAAGAGACCAGGGTTTCTTAGAAAAATGGTTGGCTTCAGATCTGGGTCAGGAAATATGCAAGATGAGTTTCAAACATCTTGTCAGATCAGGCATCAATGACTTGCTAGGGTTATGTCAAAAGGACCCAGGAACCAACTTGAAAAAGTTCCCACTAGGCAAAGACATAAAAATTTCAACTTCAACCCATTAAATAAACTAAAGTCATGAATTTAAAATATTCATTAGTCAATTTCTAAGGGGAACAGACCAGTTCATTATCTTGAAAACTGAGCAAATACCAGGAAAGAGTCAAGCATTTACCATGCCTTTCCTATATGAACCTTACCCCCAGATAACCAAATAGATGGAAGAAAACCTCTTCCTTATAAAATTATTACAGCTAATAAATAATGATAAAGTTATAATATCACCATTTTGCAACATCCAATGAAGTAATGGATCTAAACACTAAGCACCAGGGACAGCTAACATCTCAGCATGACAGCCATACATTACATGCCTCTTGACAAGCACACCACCACCTGTGTCTTACCAAAAGCACGGAACCCAAGTCAGATTAAGCTTTCCTCAGTTGTGAGTTTGTATGAAATACATAGGAACATGCTGAAGGGCACAATGAGTCTGCAGTCGGCAAAATCTAGACTATAGGAAACTCTACAGGTAAATGACCTGGGTTCTTAAACAAGCATTGTAAGGAAAAGAAAGGAATCAAGGAGGAACCTGCAGATGAAAGGAGACCTAAAAAACACATCAGATTTAAAGCCACAGGTTAAGTCTCAGCTGTCGTTGAGATACACACATTTGGGTGATGAGACCACAAAGAATCTCAGGGTTTCTTAAACTCAGGTGGTGTTAATTTGGGGAAAGGAAGAAGATTGTGATTGGGATGGGGTACATGCAGTCAAGAAAGAACTCTCTAACAAGGTGACATTTGGAACAGGTATTATTCTCATTTTATAATTCAAGAAACTGAGGCTTAGGGGGTTTGAGTAGCTTGGCTACACAGTAAGTGGTGGGTGTCTCAAGTTCAACGTGAGCTTCAACTCTTGTCCAGGGCTTAACTGAGACTTAAAACGTTTTTCTTTCATGGTATAACTTACAAAAACTATAGTGCACAAATCTTGAGTATAACTTTACTTGAGAGTAAAGTTTAATGAACTTTATATATGAGAGTTTGTTTTGTTCTGATGGTTTTAAATGGCCATATAAAGACAGGAATGCATAATCTCTTTAAGAAAACATCTTTGCCAGTGTAAAGCCAAGTTGTTGACAACTTATGATTGATAAGGAAGGTACTTGCAGTAAAAAGGGAACTTTTCCTGGAACTGGAGAAAGATCAGACAGGAATGGTGCTGCCCATGTGAGCCAATGTTTTAGTTGTTTTTTTTACTGATCAAAACTAAAACTTCCCTGAGGGTTTTTGAAAAGAGCCCATGGATGGACCCTGGAAATGAGAGATTGCAAACTAGCTTCTCAGCAAAGAAAAAGAGACGTAGGACATCAGAATGGGAGCTCCCATAGGTAAAAACTTGTCAGGTAAGCTAACAAAGGGGAAAGTTTTCCCAGCACCCCAAAGCAGGCAGAAAAGATACTAGAAGGCCCTGTGTAAATTAGGAGATTTTCTTAAAGCAATAAGAATTTGATTACAGTTAGGTTTCATTAAGTTATTTGAAACTGTGCCTTAAAGCAGGTCTGACTCTTAAGTTTATTCCATGTCACATCTAGGCTTGTATTTGTTGTGTAAATCATGACAATCAGTAATAGTAAATAGCACATATCTGTCCTGTTACTTTAAGAATTAATTCTTATAACAGTCATATTAACAGGAATAATAAGAGTGTCCTGTGGTAGTCAACAAAATAACCGGTTACACATACTAACTCATTCAATCTTCACAGCCCCTCTCAAAAGCAGGTAGCTCTACCCTCATTCTCTTTTTCAGATGCAGAAACCAAGGCACACGTCTAGGAAGAAGCAGAGCTGGAATACTGACATTTGTGTGTTTGCATTTATCCACTGCTTGGCAGTAACTTGGCAGTTAATCCTCCTGTTGGGCCAATCCTGCTGTAAATTAGCATTACAGTTCCTATGGTGGTAGGGAAACCTTAATGGAATTTAGGAGAAACTAAGAGTTCTCTAGCAGAAATGCCTACCTGAACCAGTTTCATTGCAGGGAAAAAAATACAAGTAGACTTGACCTATAAACTTCACTGGCTGAAACTCTTTGACTCACTATACTCCAAAGATACCTGGAAATGTATCACAGAGACGTCAGTCCGGAAATTACAGGTTTGTCTAGTACAGTGCTTGGCACATAGTTGGCACTCAATAGTTACTAAACGAAAGTGAAAATGAATACAAGAGATAACAATCATGGGACATTCAGATATATCCTATAATCTGCCTAACACCAGAGAAGTAAACCAGATAATCTCTAGTGGCCCCTTTTCTTTATAGTAGTGGGTGAAAAGTTTACCCAAAGAAAAGCAGTATGTAGCTGAGAGGACCAATAATGAGGGTAACAGGTGATATGATGGTGGCAATTTTCTCCCTAATGCATACATTTACATGGATATTTGTCTTTATTTTTAGATTGCTAGGAGTCTCATCCTGAAAGGTGAAAATACCATTAAGATGTATCCCTTCATCACTCATACACAGACACATACACACTTAGTCCATTAAAAACATAGTCTGAAATAAAAGTGAAAAAATATCAGAGCAGAATTTTTTAAATTCACGCATTCATTTTTTTGGTTTTTATCAACCCCAGTTATTTTGAGTTGCTAGTCACTAAAAACTAAGATATGTCAGTGTCAGGGCCATATGTTGAAAGTCAACAGGATTCTTTTTCTTCTAGCATTCTCTCTTTTATTGGCAGGTTTTCTTAGCAAGATCTGTCATCTGGAAGAGCTCATTCGGCACAGTTGATGATTTTCCATAGGTTATGTTTTCAGGCTGAATCATAATCTTTTGTAGCCATAATCTGCTGAAATTCTCATCACATTCATACAATATTTGAAACATTTTGTTTTTTTCAAAATGTAATATGCAAGTTTCTCCCCATAATCACAGTTAAACTAGTGTCAAAATGTCTTGGAAGAATTAATTATGGGGTGGGGTGATTAAATTTTAGAACTCAAAACCCCAAATCTACCAGAGTTGTAAGTTTAGTATTCTGTGTATTTTTAACAAAGGTTGTGTGCATCAGCCAACAACTTCACAAATGCTACATTGCGTGACTTGATTCTGATTTATGGTTAAGATTGTTAGAACTTGTATTTTGTGCCCTTGCTACACATGTACATTGTAAATATTGCATCAGAAAATTGGAATGCAATAGCCATAAAAATAATTACAGGCTATTACATAATCAGAAGTCTGTTTCTATTCTTTATGAGGCTAGCCTCATCATACCAAGTGAAATATATGTACTGAATAAAAATAGAATAAGTTCTAGAATTATATCTCCTTTTGTTTTTAGATTTAAGATTTTAATTGCTATAATTGTGGATCATAATGTTTCTTTTTTTAAAAAACAGGAAAAGTGAGGTTCACTTGAATAATATAAGAACTCATCTACATTATCATTAAATTATTTTAAAGATACTATATACACATCCATACATACATTTTTTTTCTGAATAATATACTGTGTTCAGGATATTATGCAACGAAATACACAGATGAATTAGACTAATCCTGCCATAAGGAGCTTGAACTCTTACAAACATCAGCCCTTTTCCATTTGCGCTGCCACCAGGGTGTCACTTGGCTTCTAGGCCGCCGCAGCCTGCCTCTGCTAATGCTCCCTGCCTCCATACGCCATCCCCAGGGAAATCTCAAGGCAGCACTTTGAATCTTGCCTCTGTTTTAAAACCTTAGAAGAATTTTCAGTATGTACTAAATGAAGTTCAAACCGTTTAATCTGGCATGCTAACTCAACAATCTTATTTTTCCTTGAACTGAATTAAAACTTGCCCACTTCCAGGCCTTTCCTCAAGCTTTCACTCCTCCTGGAGGTGACAGTGGCATAAGGCCACATCTGATGGGTAAGATTTCAACAGGTAGAAATTATAATGTAAAGTATTCCAGATTCTGGGAGACACAAAACCAAGAAAGTACAAAATGTTTAGGCTTTTTTTTAGTATGGTTGGAACGTAAGGTTGACATAAGTTAAGCAGAAGGATACAGGGCTAATACAATGTTCATGAGCTTTTAGATCCTAGAATCTGTCTATCTTTCCATCCCTCTACCTGTTTCCCTACTTACTATCTGTGGTTGTTTAAAAATAGGTCCACAAATTCTTTAATACCCCTGCCTATAAGAGGTAGAGCCTAATTCTCTCTCCCTTAAGTGTGGGCTGGATTTAGGCCACTTCTGAGGAAGTGACAGTGTGCGACTTGAGACACTGGGTCATAAAAGGCACGGCAGCTTCCTCCTGACTCTCTCTCCCAGCCTGCTTGTGTGGGAGGAAGTCAGTGCCCTGTTGTGAGGGCAGTCAAGCAGCCTACAAAGAGCCCATGTGATGAGGAATTAAGCCCTCCTGCCAACAGCCATGTGAGAGAGCCATCTTGGAAGCAGATCCTCCAGCCCCAGTCAAACCTTCAGATGACTACAGTCACCGGCAAACATCCTGAGAGCAACCTCACAAGAAACTCTAAGATGAACCTCTCAGCTGAGTCGTTCCAAATTCCTAACCCAGAGAAATTATGACAAAAGAATATTTATTGTTTTAAACCAATAAGCTTTGCAGCAAATTATTATGCAGCAGTCGATAATTACCATACTTCTTATTGATAAATGTCTACCAAGAAGAATGTCAATGGCTTCAGATATAAATACAAATCTTCATGACAACACTCCCAAATGGTATACTAAAGAATAAACAGCCTGTTAATTTGTGATATTACTGACATGATTAAAAAGTACAGGAAGGACACAGATCACATCCATCATGTTTTCCACTGTATATATTCTTAGCATCAAGTATAGTGCCTGACTCACAGAAATAATTCAATAAATATTTGTTGAATAGAGGAATGGACCCTCTACAAAGGGTGGCTCCGAAGATTTTCTTACAATATTATAGATCTCCAGCCTTAGGTTTCTTAGTAAAAGATGAGACAAGGCAGAGCAAATGAAGAGAAAATCTAACTGTTCAAAACTCCCTACACTCAATGTATTGTTTTTGTTTTCATTATTTTACCTTTCTTATTAAGAAATACAAATATAGAAATCTACACAAAAAAATATCTGTAGCTTAGTGAATCACCAAAAGACAAACACCCATTGAAAAAACCACCCATGACAAGAAACAGAAGTTTGCCAGTGACCCTGAAAGCCCCTCCAAAGTGGGTATGTGTGTAGATGCAGTTTTCTTTCCTACATACTACATCTAAAGAAGGAAAATTCCAGACTAAGTAAGTTTAGAAAATGGAGGAGATTAAAGGAGAACCAGATCCAAGGGGTGACTCCCGTCATGGCCAGCATCTCATGGGCCGAGTTCCTACCATCTGTAGTGACTGTGGGCGAGAAGCGACAGCACTATGACAGGATCACGGATGCGAACACTCTCAATGTGAATCTATTTATTATCTTTCTTTTTTTTTTTCAGTGCCTGGCATACCAGAGGCATGACGGAATTTGCAAGTGAGTGATGTGATGATGGTGGCAGGCTCAGACCTCATGCTTGTAAACAAGACAGCCCTCTTGTTTTATAGATTTTGATTTGGGGTAGCTTTATGCTACACTGCCCACTGAGGCTAACCTGCCTTGAATTGTTATGTTATTGTCTAATAATGAAACATCTGAAAGTGTGCTAATGAAGTAAATAAGTTAAGTTGAACTTTTAGCTGAATTTTTACTACAATTATGAATTGCTGGGCATTGTCCTAGCATATAACTTCATAAAAGTCTTCTTCGTGTTAATTCTCAGCATATGGGTCTACGACAATTTGCTAAAATGGATCAACTATCAACTGAGCATAGTATTATGATCATTCAAAAGGATGAATCTGAAGAACAAAAAAGAATAGTCTCATGTTGACGTCCAGTTTTTTGTAACATGAGTTATAGCAGCTAGAAAAGACTGAATCATTATAAAATTATTATGAGGAGTTGCTTAACTTTATTCAGGGTGGAAAACAGATCTTACACAGCCTTAGCAAGACTCATAAATCTTGCTCTTTAATGATGTAATTGCTTAGAGGTGCTAATAAAGTTTCCTGGACAGGCTACAATATATTTCAAATGAAACAAGACTGGATTACTCCACCAACCTACAAGACAGCATATATATGACCACATGATATGCAGCACTGAGTAGGTTCCATTTACTGCCAAGTGACTTGCTGAAGTCACTTCTTAGAAAAGGGTGGAGGTGGAATGTGTTGAGAGGACTACTCTGCAGCCCCACCAAAAAGTGTTTGTCAAAAAAAGCAGTATTCTTGTGATTCCATTATATCAGAGACTAGAATGAACTAGGCTGGGCATTAAACGAATAAGAATAAAGTTCCTTTTGCAGAGCAGGGGCCTGCTCCACAATCAGTTTCCAAAGCAATCTCTTGTGGTGGAAGGAACATGGGTTTTGGGTGCGACCAACCTGGATGACACCTGTGCCCTGCCACACGCAGTTAACATAACCCTGGGTGACCCAAATAACTCCTCTCATCTTAAATTTCCTCATTAAAAAAAAAGGAAACAATAATGCCTTCCTGTATGAGTCAAGACTTTGCTGATTATGACAGAAACCCAAGTCATACTCACTAAAGCAAAAAAGATTATTTATTGTAAAACTATGGGAGAGGCTCAAAGAATCTCTCATGGACAGCTCACTACTGGAGTGAAAGCCAAGACAAGCTCCTCAAACCTTAAGGAATGAAACCCGAAACCTCACCACTGACTGTACTCTTTCTCTCTGAATCTCCCTCTCTCATCTTTCCTTTTACTTCCACATTGGCTTTCTTCATTCCCACTGTTTAGAGATGCACTGTCCAATATGGTAGCCATTAACCAAATGTGGCCACTGAGCACCTGGAATATGAGAAGTCTGAATTGAGAGGTGGTGAAGAATAAAATACACACCAGGTTTCAAAGTATATATAAATATCTCATGAATAATTTTAATTTAGATTACATATTGAAACAATATTTTGAATATAATGGGTTAAATAAAACCAACTATTAAAACTAATTTCACCTGTTTCTTTATAGTCTTTTTAATGTGGCTACAAGAAATTATAAATGTGGTTCACATTATATTTCTACCAGGCAGTGCTGATCTAGAGGCTTCTCCCACATGTGATGAATATGACCACCTATAGTCCTGGACTCAATTCATTCCAGCTTCTAAATATCATAACAAAGAAAAAGTTTTCTCCTTCTACTTGAATTTTCAAATGTTCTAGGAAAGATGCTGACTAGGCCAACTTGGCGGACTGGGCCAGCTTGGCTGACTGTGTCCAGCCCTTGGACTAATGCCTTCCATGCAGAACTGCAATGCACAACCCTACCAGAATCGCAAGGATGGTGTAGGGAAAAAAAGATGTACACGGAATATAATTACAAGAAGATTGGAAAGAGAGATGCTAGACAAAAACAATAGATACCCATTATGCCCCCTTAAAGGTAGCTGTGAGTATATAGCACTGACTGTCAATCAATGGCAAGATTACAACCAAAATCCCTCTCTAAATGCTAACTATGACACTAAAGCATACACTCTGAATAAATAGGTGGCTGTGAGTCATAACACAGGCAGACACAGAAACTCAAAGGGACAAGCACTTTAGATTTCTATACTTGAATATCAAATGCACCTAACTCAATAATTTTCCTAAACTCTAGACACTGGCAGCTTATGGGTAGAGTTGACTTTAAAGATCAATTTGTGAAGATCTCAGATTTACTCTACATTGATACAAACTGATAATACTTTTTTATATAGTTACCATGACTGATAATGCAGAAGTTTTATTATGCATTTTATAATCCTGGACATGTTTATAGTCTGCTATAAATCCCCAGGAAATGTAACAGGCCATAAAGTCTACAGCAGCAGCTCTCAAGCATTTTGCTCACAGGACCCCTTTTTCACAACTATTGAGAACTCCAAAGAGCTCTTATTCTTGTGTGCAATCTATGTTGATATATAGTGTATTAGAAATTAAAACTGACTTTTTTCTCAAAGAAAACAGCTTTACCGTAGTTTTATCATATGTCTTCTATAAATTTTGGAGTTTTAACAGTTTTACATTTAACTTGATGTAATTTGAGTTAAATTTTGTATGGGTCAAAGGATGTGAACTAAAGTTCCTCCTTGGTATAGCTATCCAATTGCTCTAGTACCATTTGTTGAAAAGATCATACTTTCTCTTCTGAATTCCACATTTGTCAAAAATAAATTGTCCATGTGTGAGTCTATTTCTTGATACTCTATTCTGTTTCATTGATCTACACTGATCTATTTGTCTTTTTAAGACCATTACCGCATTGTCTTAATTACTTACATTAAGCTTTATAATAAATCTTTATAGTAAGTATCTTTATAGTAAGTCTTAAAATCAGGGAGCATTCAGCTCTCCAATCTTGTTCATTTTTTTCAAAATTACTTTGGCTATTGTAGGCCCATGTTATTTCAAAATAAATTTTAGAATCAGATTGTCAATCTCTACAAAAAAAACCTGGCTGGATTTTGACCTGTTAGTATTGAGTCAGATTTATATATCCATTTGGAAAGAACTGGTATCTTACAATATTGAGCCTTCTGCCATATGAACATGATATATCTATTAGTTTAGATCTTCTTTTACTTCCCTCAGCAATGTTTTATAGTTTCTGGCATACAGGTCTTCCATCTTTTCTTAGGTTTATCTCTAATAATTTTATATTTTTGATACTATTATAAATGGCATTTCTAAAATTTCAATTTCAGATTATTTGCTGTTAGGATATAGAATTGTAGAAATGCAATTGATTTCTATATATTGACCTTATTCCCTGCAACATTACAAAATTCATTTATTAGTTACAGAAGCTTTTTTATAGATTGGTTAGGCTTATCTGTATAAATAATGATATCACTTGTGAAAAAGACAATTTTGTTTCTTCCCATCTACTCTGTGACTTCTATTCCTTTTTCTTGCCTTATTGCACTAGCTAGAACCTTCAGTATTAAATATAATTGGTGGGAGTAAACATTTTTGCCTTGCTCTAACCTTAGGGAGAAAGTACTTGGTCTTTCACCATTAAGTATGATATTAGCTATAGGTTTTTCATAGATGTGCTTTATCAGGTTGAGAAAGTCCCTTTCCATTCCTACTTTGCTGAGAGTTTTTTTTTTTTAATCAGGAATGATGTTTGGTTTAGTTGCTAATATGGTGAATCATAATGTTCATTTTTAAATATTCAGCCTAACTTACATCCTTGGGATAAACTCCACTTGGTCATGATGTATCATTCTTTTTGTATATTAACATTGAATTTGTTAAAATTTTGTTTTGAATTTTACATCTATATTCATGAGAAAGATTCATTTGTAGTTTTCTTACAATATTTTTGCCTGATTTTATTATAAAGTAATACTGTCCTCATATAATCAGTCAGAAAGTATTCTCTCCTTTGTAATTTTCCAAAAGAATGAGTATACAACTTGTGTATTATTTCTTCCTTAAATGATTGGAAAAACTTATCAGCAAAGTCATCTGTTCCTGGAGTTTTCTTTATGGGAAGTTGTTTAACTATTTAACTGTGATAGACATAATACTATTTAAGTTATCTATTCTTCTTGAATATGCTTTGGTAAAACCTGAGAAATTTTTAAACTATAAGAACACACAAGAAAACATGCCATTGGCCATTAAAGTGATGACGACATGCTAACACACCATGTAGTCTCTGAAAAACTCTACTACTCATTTATGAAGTAAATAAATTCTTAATTTTATTTTGAAAATAGCTTTTACTTTGTGGACCCTCTAAAAGGGCCTTCGGAATACCAGAACCACATTTTGTGACATGATGGTCTATGGAATAAAAACTAGAAATACCATCATCATCAATATCCCAGGATCTTATGCTAAAGAGTATATATTCATGAGAGACCCACATATTGAACAGACATTCAGGGCATTTTAGACTACTTTCAGAATTAGCACAAAGCTTGAAAAACCTAAATCATTGTCTCACCCAGCTTCAGGAGAACTCTGGAACAAAGAATGATATCAACTTTATTTCTGGTATTACCCAGTCCAACAATATGGTCATCATGTAAAAGCAAAACTTCAGTAAATAGATTCATGAAAGGAAACAGATTTTCAAAAAAATAAGAGAAAGAGGGTGGGTATCACAGTCACAATATTTTGTAATTAAACTAGATCAAAATATAACTGTGCTGTTAAAATTTGTTTTAAAATATTTTATGAAAGAAAAAATCCCTTTCATTTCTATATTAAATGCCTTCCTAATCAAGGACTGTGGGTTCCTTCTCCTACTTCAAATCCGAGGGATGTATTTTTGAAGAAAAAAATAGAAGGGGGATAGTGGTTAACAGTGAATACAAAACCCAGCTCAGCAAAAAGAACAAAAGTAAAAATCCCAAGAATACTTAAAAGATTGCCCTGCCGTAGGCAGCCAGGAACAACAGAAGGCGA